TTTCTATCATTTATTTCTCGCTTAGAAAGAGTCGTTCAAACATTTTTTACTTAAGATTATTAATATTTCTGAACGTAACTAAGCTAATTTTTCAAAAATTTGTTATAATAATTAGTAATAAAATTTGTAAAATCAATATTTTTTAATATAAATCTTTTAGCAGTATATCGAAAAGAGATCGAAATTTTTTAATCCGTCGATGTGTCCAAGGCGCTAAATGCGCGTCGATATGTTCTGATGGTATTGATATCGAATCGATATCGAATTGATATTAGCTTTCTCACTGGGTTGAGCAGCATACCTCTGACGGTTGGAGACCATTAGATTTCTTCTCTAGGAAGTTCACTCCGGCGCAGAGGAATTATAGCGCGTACGACCGAGAATTGACCCCGATTTATGAATCGATAAAGTTTTTTCGACACTTCCTCGAAGGTCGTAATTTTAAGGTCATGACGGACCATAAACCTTTGGTTTACGCATTTCAGCAACGGTCAGACAAATCCTCCCCAAGGCAATTACGTCAGCTCTCGTACATAGCGCAGTTCACCACCGCGTTGGAACACCTCGCCGGTTCGAACAACGTGGTAGCCGACAACTTATCTCGTATCGAGGCTCTACGCCTCCCGGTCGAATTCGAATTAGTAGACCTTGCCGCTAGGCAAAAAGAGGACGAGGAACTTAAACATCTCTTGATCTCGAACTCGTCCTCGTTAAAATTAAAAAAATTCATTTGAGGTGCTTCCAACACAGAGCTATACTGCGAATTGTCAGGTGAATCGATCAGGCCCTACATTCCAGCATCTCTTAGAAGACAGGTCTTCGACCTTTTCCATAACCCCGCGCATCTGAACGCAAAAGTAACAGATCGCGTCATAAGACAGTATATCTGGCCTAACCTGCATCGCGACGTCGCAACGCGGGTAATTGTACCGATTGCCAGCAGTGCAAGGTTTCGCGCCACGTCAAACTCGAGCCTGCCCAATTTTCAGCTCCCGACGGGCGTTTCGACCACGTCCACATGGACATAGTAGGCCCCTTGCATCCTAGTAACGGCTTTACGTATTGCTTAACAATCGTCGATCGGTTTTCCCGCTGGCCAGAAGCGATTCCAATCCTGGATATTAGTGCAAAAACAGTAGCCAGAGCATTTTTTGATAACTGGGTCGCTCGTTTCGGTGCACCTAACATTCTCACGACCGATCAAGGTGAACAATTTGAAGCGCAGCTCTTCTCAGCCCTTCTCAAATTAATCGGATGCAAACGCATTCGTACCACGGCTTATCACCCTGCCGCTAATGGCATGATCGAGCGTTAGCACCGCACCTTCAAGGCGGCAATTATGTGCCATAACACGCCGAACTGGGTGGATGTCCTCCCTACAGTACTACTCGGGTTACGCACCCATTTACGTATGGACACAAAAGCCTCTCCGGCCGAATTCTTGTACGGTACGGTATTACGGATTCCGGGAGAATTTTTCCTCGAGGAAGATTTTACACCGGATCCCCAAATCTTTGTAGACGACTTTCGACAGCACATGCGTCAGGTGAAGCCGGTACCAGTGGCACACCATTATAAAAAGCGCGTTTTCCAATTCAAGGAATTGTCGAAGTGTTCGCATGTCTTCCTCCGTAAGGACGCGGTTAAAAAGCCCTTAGAGCGGCCGTATTCGGGCCCCTTTAAGGTACTTGATAGGACATCGGATAAAGTCTACAACATAGAAATTAACGGCAAACCCACGGCCGTATCAATTGAACGGCTCAAGCCGGCTCACTTTATACCGGACGACATTCCAATCGCTAACGATTCATCCTCTTCCGACGCTACGGACAAGCCTGCCGCTTCGACAAGCGCTTCGTCCGATACAGTAAAAACCTATTCTGGTCCAAAGAAAAAAGTACAAATTAGACTAGATAAGAATACGGTACGTATATCCCCTCGCTAGTAAAAGCCTGACACGGAAACGTACAAGTGGTCATCCCATCGCGCGTAAAAGTATAACGTAAAAAACTTACCTTTTTAAAAAAAGGTAAAAAAAAGCACCAAGTCTAAGCACCAATTCAACCGAATATATTTTGTTACTCTATCTTTTTTGCAAAAGTATAATCTCTACAAAAATATCTTTACTGCAAAAGTATCTTCTTTAAAAAAATAGTGTCTCCACAAAAGTAGGGTATATATGGGGTTTCTAACTCACTTTTTGGGAGGGGATATGGTGGACCTAACCGCAGGGGAGGGGGAACCGAGCGGACCTAACCGCGGGGGAGGGGGGGGCACAGCGATCCTATGGGCCCTACGCGGCGGACCTAACCGAGGGGGAGTCGGAGGTCCGAGACGCTAGGCGTACCGCGGCTGTGACTGTTATCACCGCGGAGCATTCCTCCTTGATGCGTGGTTTAATTGGTCATGTTGAAAAAAATCATTGGAGTAAGTAGCCAAATATGTTTACGGCGTGACAAGTTGTGGGAA